ATAGAGGAGGAGCAATGTGGTTTTCGTCCTGGCCGTGGAACTGTGGACCAGCTCTATACCCTTGCAAGGGTGATGGAGGGGGCATGGGAGTTTGCCCAACCAATCCACATGTGCTTTGTGGATTTGGAGAAGGCTTATGACCGTGTCCCCAGGGGCACCCTGTGGGGGACGCTCCAGGAGTATGGGGTGGGTGGCTTTCTGTTAAGGGCCATTCAGTCCCTTTACCAGAGGAGCGTGAGTTTGGTCCGCATAGCCGGTAGTAAGTCGGACCTGTTCCCAGTGAGGGTTGGACTCCGCCAGGGCTGCCCTTTGTCACCGGTTCTGTTCATCATATTTATGGACAGAATTTCTAGACGCAGCCGTGGTGTGGAGTGTGTCGAGTTTGGTGGCAGGAGAATCTCGTCTCTGCTTTTTGCGGATGATGTGGTCCTCCTAGCTTCATCCAGCTCTGACCTTCAGCTCTTGCTGGGTAGGTTCGCGGCCGAATGTGAAGCGGCTGGGATGAGGATCAGCACCTCCAAATCTGAGACCATGGTTCTCGACCGGAAAAGGGTGGCTTGCCACCTCCGGGTCGGGGGAGAGGTCCTACCTCAAGTGGAGGAGTTTAAGTATCTCGGGGTCTTGTTCACGAGTGAGGGTAGGAGGGATAGGGAGATCGACAGGCGGATTAGTTCGGCGTCTGCAGTGATGCGGACGCTGAGCCGATCTGTCGTGGGGAAGAGGGAGCTGAGCCAGAAAGCCAGGCTCTCGATTTACCGGTCGATCTACGTCCCAATCCTCACCTATGGTCATGAGCTTTGGGTAATGACCGAAAGAACGAGATCGCGGATACAAGCGGCCGAAATGAGTTTCCTCCGTAGGGTGGCCGGGCTCAGCCTTAGAGATAGGGTGAGGAGCTCGGACATTCGGGAGGGACTCGGAGTAGAACCGCTGCTCCTCCGGATCGAAAGGAGCCAGTTGAGGTGGTTTGGGCATCTGGTCAGGATGCCTCCTGGACGCCTCCCTGGGGAGGTGTTTCGGGCATGTCCTGCCGGCAGAAGGCCCCCAGGTCGACCCAGGACACGTTGGAGAAGTTACATCTCCAATCTGGTCCGGGAACGCCTTGGGGTCCTGCCGGAGGAGCTGGTGGACAAGGCCGGGGAGAGGACGGCCTGGAGCTCCCTAGTTGGGATGCTGCCCCCGCGACCCGGACCCGGATAAGCGGAGGAAGACGAGACGAGACGAGACAAAAACTTTTAGTACCTGCATCTTTAAATACTTAAGTTTGCACATTAACATTTGCATGACTCGGGCCCACAAAACTTTAGGGTTTGAGGCCACTTGACTGCATCCCAACTTTTCCTCTCACCTCTCTTCATCCACCTTTAAATTTGAGAAACTCTATAGCGCCATCTACAGAAGCTCCGATGACTGCAGAGCACCTTCACCTCTGTGCTCCCAGTTTGGACCACCCCAACCATCACACAACGTGCAGGGAAAAGCAGATTTATATCAGTATTTAAATCGCGCACAAAATCTCAGCAGCAAAACTGGGTCAGGAAATAATATCAGTGATCTAATGTTGTGGCCTTTTTGTATTATATCATTAATAACAGCAAGTAATAATAATAATAATAATAATAATAACAATATTCTGATTAAGAATGTTATTAACAATAAAATACATAATTATAGGCTAAGTTTCGATAAAGAGAGACGTTTTAATCTGAATAACAAAACCAAAATTATAACAAATAATATTTATTATTCTTTCCCAAACTTACTGTAAGCACGCAGGTCATTTTCGGCTGTTACGATATTAAGAAAAAAATCTGACTCGGTTCTGTGTTTACCCCCTCCCCTTCCCGCCTGTGTCAGACCCAGAGACCTCCTCATTTGGACCTTCGCTTTTTTGCGTTGGCGAATCACAAAGTGTTGGCATCTATTGCCTTTGTCTGACAAGTCATCCATAAGCAAAAGGGGGAGGAGGGGAGGGGGTCTGCAGAGATGGGGGGTGGGGGTGGGGGGGGGGGGGGTTGCAGTTTTTAGAACCACAGACACAGAGAGAGGTTTCATTCCCAGCTCCAAAGATCCAGCCTGACGCATCCTGCGCGCCACAGAGAAAGAGAGAGAGAGAGAAAGAGAGAGAGAGAGAAAGGGGAGAGAGGGGGAGAAAACGCCGCCGTGTATGTATGTGGGTGTGTGTGTGTGTTGATGTGTGTGTGCACGTTTCGCTGTCGTTTTCACGCGTGAATCAAGGCCACTAGGACTGAGGAGATACCGGGGCCCTGCTGGAACCCGCACTCCTGTGAGGAGACAGACGCGGTCTCCTTCTCGCGGGCATGCTGGGACCACCTCCTCCGATCAGCTGAACCCAGCCTTGGTCATGCCGCGCACCTGCCTCCCTGACGGACCGGGCTGCTGAGAGCGAACAGGGGGCAACTTTTTGGGAGGAAGAAGTTGCCATCAGATCGATTGTGAGCGCGAGGAGCTTGGAGGGGACTAAAAAAACTGGAGTCCCTCCATCGAGATTCTTTCATTTTTTTCTTCGCATTTTCATCCCCTCGATAGGAAGGCGAAACGGCGACTTCAGTTGATTATCTGTCTTTCCTTTGCTATCCAATGGATATTCACTGCAAAGCAGACCCGTTTACAGCCATGCACCGTAAGTAGCACAACCTGAGTTTCTTGATCTCTGCAGCTGCAAGCTGGGAAAAAAATGAAAGTAAATATGTTATTCCTGTAAGTCAATCTGCGCGCAAAAAACGCAAATAAACAACACAAATTAACCCGAATGCGCCATTATAAATAATCATGATTTTAAATGCATTTCTCATGTCAGTTAAACTTTGCAAAATCCTTAAAAAATGATCTCCACAAAGAAATTTAACTTGGCCGATAAACAAAGAGCATGCTGCTGATCTAACGCACGTGCTTCATCCTGACGCTTCGCGCGCGCACCTTGTGCCTGTGCAGGTCTAAACCAGGACATATTAGTTACACATCCATTATTCAGCTAACTCAAATCCACCCGCAGCGTGTTTAATGTGACGAATTTGTGTTAATAATTCACCTCCTATTGGTTTACTAAACGATGGGAAACACGAGGAACGAAAGATGGTTGAATTATTTAAAAACAATGTGCAGGTGCAATTATGGAGCTCGACATCTAATAGCAACCTAATATTTACGAATCAATAACGGATAATTTAGAAAACAGGAAACTCACAAATGATGGATATTTTTTTCCCATTTGAACTGTTGAGGGAATTTATTTTAAATGCAAAACAAACAATAAATTGAACTCTCAGGCAGCAGCAATTACAGTAAACAAATACATATTTGCATAAAAATGTCTAATATATTTATTCATTTTTTTAGATTTTGAATGCATGGTTTTATTTAGTTTTATTTATTTTTGCAGTATTTTCATTAATTCTTATTTATAAAAATAATTAAACAAGTTAAAAGTTTTAAATAAATTGTTGTTTTCAATCTAAATTAAATAGTAAAACAACATCTTGTTCACAGACAATAATAAATCATCTCAAAATAACGAGTTTAAAACAGATTTTGTATGGATTTGTGGTAAAACGTGTGTTTGTTTTTTGGTATTTTTATACACAAATCTGTTTAGAAATAAAACACTAAACCAAGTAACAAGAATGCAAATGAGAATAAATTTGATTATTGTATACATTTTTCACTGAAAGTGTAATACCCTGCTGCTCATGGATGGATATTTTCTCTGTATCCAACCCTGCACCTTCCTCTCTGACGACCTTACATAATGTTAGTTTGTGTGTTTTGCTGCTGTTGTGTCCCACGTAGGGCACGGAGGTGTGAACCAGCTCGGCGGGGTGTTTGTGAACGGCAGACCCCTCCCGGACGTGGTGAGGCAGCGGATCGTGGAGCTTGCCCACCAGGGCGTCCGGCCCTGCGACATCTCCAGACAGCTGCGCGTGAGCCACGGCTGCGTGAGCAAGATCCTGGGCAGGTGGGTGAAGACTCTCCGGCGAAGGTAGATTCTGCTGGGTGCATGGTGGGAAGTCGGTGCATCCCCTGAACCAAACAGGTGTGAACTAGCAGTGAAACGAGAAGCAGAAACAAGTATTCTGACAAAACCTAATTTAGATTTTTTTAAGCCACGCAAATACATCTGAGAACTTTTAGGAAATTAAAAGTCTTACAAGCGCAAAGTCTCCAAGCTGCACGTGTTTTACTGCGCGTTAACACGCTGTTATGGGGTGTACTCTTCCTGCTAAAATTTAAATCTATTGATTATCTTTCATTAATTATTTTTAAATGTGCAAGAATGTTCTCTTTAATTTGTTTTTTGCAGATACTACGAGACTGGTAGCATCAAACCGGGGGTGATCGGTGGCTCCAAACCCAAAGTGGCCACTCCGAAAGTGGTGGAAAAAATCGCAGACTACAAAAGACAAAACCCCACCATGTTCGCCTGGGAGATCAGAGACAGGCTGCTGGCGGAGGGCATCTGCGACAACGACACGGTTCCAAGCGTCTCGTCCATTAACAGGTAGGAGGAAATGCTGCACACGTGAACAAAATTCAAAAGATGCATTTTTCTTTCCTTCAGTTAAACTTTAAAGATAGGGAACAATTAATAGAAGGATTGGTTTTTGACGTGTCTGCGCGCTCTGGGTGCAGCTGGATGTTGTTGGAGCAACTTTGTGCAGCAGCCTGACCGACACAGCGAGGTGCAAAAGCCCTCAGAGGTGCAATTCAATCTTTCAGAGGAACTCCCTCAACAATCAGCACTACATCCAGGACTGAGTGAATCTGTCGAGATGAAAACCGATCAATATTCGGTGACCAGATCCCGTGGCGCTATAAAGCAGGCCAATTTTCTTCAGCACGTCTAATGTGAAGGTGTGCTGCACAAAGAGAACAACGCTGCTTATTAGGTTTTTTTATTTGTATTTTTATTTTTTGTTCCTACAGGATACATTAAAATTCCCGATGGACTCCCTGGGATGAAAACATTCCTAAAATCCATGTTTCGCTTTAAATCTGATAATATTTTCATGTGTGGTATAATAATCCAGGACAGCCCATGCTTCACCTTAATGCAGCCCCCACCACCACCAGAGATCCCTGGTGATGAACTTTGGTTAAGAGGCACTGTTCCATAGAGCCAGCATCAGCATTACATTTTAATGAGCTGATGGGAGAGAGCGTGGACAGCTCCACACAAGACATCTTTTAAATAGAAGAGGGTGTGTGTGGAAAAAAAGGCTGAAGAAAATTCATTTCATGCTTCATGGCTGCTTAAAAAGCCCCATTTAAGGAGGCTCAGACACATGTATGTGATAAATTCGAAATGTACATTAATATCCTTCAAAGAGCCATATAAAGTTCTTCAATTCCAATTAAAGGCAGCTATTTCAGAGGGAAGAAGCAATGGAGGCCTGACGTGTCTTTGTTTATGTGGGAAATTAAAATGTGAACACAAAGAGGAGTAATTCCTTCAGCCAAATATGAGAGCTGTACTTTGAATTTGTATTATGGCTTAATGCTGAATGCAGAAGGACTGTAGCTAACCCAGTAGCACACACACATGCACATAAAGCCTTCTGAATCTGATAAACTTGCCTATTCTTATTATTTTTATATAAGTTATTTTTAAGGCAAGAAAATATATAAAACACGTCGTTTTCAGTTTAGTTATGCACACATCTCTCAAGTACTTTTAAAAAAGAAAGCACAAGAAGTAGGAAGTTTCCTCTTCAGGTGTTTAAAACACGCTGAAGCCAAAGTGTTTTCTGGTTGGGTGGTTCTGACTGGGGCCATGCCGATGTGGGTTTCTGTGGCAGACAGTCTGACCTCAGAACTGTTGACAAAAGAGGATGCTTGATTTAAACACCTTTCTCCTGCATGCATTATTAAATGCTACAGAGGTGGTGCTGTGCACCTGGGCCACCACAGCTATAGCTGCTGGACATTCAACAAAAAAATAAATAAATAAAAGAAAAAAGGGAAAAAAGAAAGTCCTCAATGCTGCTCGATATTATTGACTCAGAAGTAAAGCAATTTTAATATCTCTTCAGGGGATTTTCAGCAACAAGCAGGTCATTAATTCATTCTCCTAAATTGCTTATTCAATATGAAGAACATGGATACCAAATAAAATCTTTTTAATTTATGTTGCACACACAAGTCAGGGGGTCGAATAACTGTTGGGGGAGTGGGGTGAAAAAATGTAAACATCAATATGCACTAGATGGCGTGTTGTTGGGCGGCTTTACCTCCAATGGGAGGTTGTTTTAATAGTCAGATTTATTTAGCTGAAGCCTTCTGGCTTGTGTCAAATGCAAACATTAAAATAATTAAATACCATTCCAGGATGTTTTAATCTTCTGTTTCTGAAATATTTGTGGACAAAGACAGAAAAAGAGAGCGTCAGAGGAAGTCTGGCTCTCTGCAGACCTCTCCTGAGTGACTCCCGTAGCATTCGTGATGAATAGTTTTAAAGTTTACAAATTATGGTGACAGCTCCCTTTCTCCCCAAGTGCCATTCAGATTAAAGGAATCTAATGCTGGCGTAAGCTTGTGCAAAGCAATAAGGAACTATTGCTTTCCTGTCACATATAATTTATAGCTTTCTATTTGCATCTCTTTGCCCATGTGACTAATCCCCAACTTTTTTTTTCTCTCCAAGCCTCAATCAATACACCCTCATCCGCACTGGCACACGGGGGCCACGGGTTGCGTTTGATCTGGGAAGCAAAGGGGTAGCCGTGGGGCTCCGATTGGATCGGCCGCCGTGAAACCCCTTCTGCAGTGGATGGGAGGGGGGGAGGGGGGCTGGAGCTGATTAGTGTGGGCCAGGTAGAGCCAGTGAAGCTGATCATTGAGGTGAATTGATGTGATTTCATGCTTTGTTTGCACGATCACTCAGACCAAAGGTGCAGACGTTTTTCCAGAGCTCACCTTCAGGGTGGACCAGATCTCTGTTCCTGTAGCGTTTGATGTCTTCATGACACGAGGCTGCTATTGTAGCTTCTGCCACGCTCACATTAAAAGAGAAGCACACTTGTTTTGTCTTTGCTCTGCAGGATCATCAGGACAAAAGTTCAGCAGCCTTTCCATCCGTCTCCCGATGGGACGTCCCTGTCAGCACCAGGCCACACCATTGGTACGACATCCAGGGGCGCTGCCAGGGATTTTGGGCCCCATGAAAATTTATTAATTATGATTTTTTAAATGAATTGAATCTAAACTACAATTGTTTTGGGACACCCTGTCAGTCGTGGGCCCGTAGAATCATCCCAACTTTATATGGCCTTATATGGCTCCCCCGATGACATCATAAAAGTGCATTTTTACAAATGCCACCAGTTTAGTAAAAATTAGGTTTCTTATGTCTTTTCCCTCCAGTACCAAACACCGCTTCTCCACCTGTAACCAGCGCCTCCAACGACCCTGCAGGATCTTACTCCATTAACGGGATTTTGGGTATTCCACGTTCCAACGGGGAAAAAAGGAAAAGAGATGACGGTAAGAGACTCTTATTTCTTAAGGGAATAAAATGAGAACGTTTGGAACAGTTGCTATGCTATCTTCCCCCCCCCCCCCCCCCCCCCCAATTTTTTTGCTGAAGTTGCAATCACAGCACTGAAACCTGCTTTAACTCCCGTAGATGACCCTTATAAAACACCTGAGTCTGAACTCTGTTACACTGCTGTGTCAACCTGCCAACGACTCTTTTGATTTGAAGACACGACCTCCGCTGTTGTCTCCTGCAATTAATCTTTATGGAAGTGATTAAAGGGCTTCAGATAATTACATGTCAAGATGATGTAGCCAACCACCCAGGTCAGTCAAGAAAGAGGCTATAGCTCTGAGGAGGGCTTTGCAACCCCCCACACCACCACCCCACCTCAATGAAAGTAGCTCCTCTTCCTCTGTCTTTGCTGGATATAAGGAGGGCTGAGGCGATATAGATTATTGGTTCTGTAAGCAATAGGCTTCCCCCTAATGTCACAACATAAGAAGCTGATGAGAATAGCTAAACAGATGCGTTACAAGGCTCGGGTACTGAGGGGCTGAAAATGAGCAGTTATCTCAAACAGGGTGGGGAATGAGAGCCTGATTTCTGCACTTCTCCAGAATGAGAGCTAATCAGAGCACGGCAGCAGTTTACATAGCGTCTTCTTTGTTCTGGCGTTTGTCGGGGAAGCACGGGGGTTTTGTGGGATATTGAGTGGAATTGATGTTTTATGTGCGTGCGGGGAGGGAGGGATGACTAATGACCTGTCAGAGGTAGATTTCCTGGCAAAGATATAAAAACCAGCATGACGTGGACATGGCAAATGACATAATCAAGTCTTTCCCTGTAAGAGATGCAATCGCGGGGGCATAATACAAACGTCTGGTATTTTCAAGGGTTCATTTTCAGTCGCTCAAAGACCTCTCGTATTAGCCGGGGTGTATGTCTAGTCACGGAATGATGAAATGCACACATTTCTATGCAGATTGCTACTGAAGGGCAAAGAGGTATTAAAGGGCACTGGGAGGAATAAGGAATGTGTGTGTGAGAGGAGGGGAGCTGGGCTGGTTTGTGGAGGTCTTCCTGGTGACAGCGCCATGTTTCTACAGCTATTCAGTCACAAATGATTCCCCTGATGTGATGTCATCTCTGTGATTTAGGTGCTGGACCAACATTAAAGAGAAGAAAGTTGTGTGTTAGTGTGAGTAGGTGTGTAATGTGTGTGTGTGTGTTTGCACTAGAGCAGGACTTGTGCTTGAGAGTGACGGAGAGGGGAGTTTTGGTTCTTATATACTCTCTCAGCAGCCAGCTGGTGCCTACCTGGAACCACAGGGTCACGGATACTTTATCTTTCCCAAACACAAACCTCGGGTCTTGGCCAAACACACTCAGACATGGACACACACGCGCGCGCAGCTGCAGAAGCAATGTCTTGCCTCAAGCCACAGTTTGTAAGAATGGTAAATTACACAGGATCTTAGCCCGTAGACACAATTGTCCTGTCGCTGTCTTCTCTTAAAGGGCACTTTACCAAACAAAACAACAAAATGTAACATTCTAGTGAGCATGTTAGAGGTTTTGAATCCATCAACATATAACCTGAGTTTATGTTTAATGTCTAGTTTGTTGAAATTCGGTTTTTCTGTCCAAATCTGTCACTGTTCATGATTCATGAAGTCATGTACTGCTTTAAATTCCTCTCAGTATGTAAATCGGTTTATTTCCCAGCCACTCAAATAGCTTTTGTTTAGTTTACAACAAAAAGCAAAGACCTCTTTCACAAATACATCAAACTCAAACCTGCTGGAATAGATTTCACACAAATTCTGAGTCTTTTGTTGAGCAGGGGTGTTCCTAGAAATTTGGAGCCACTGGTCATCTCAGGGTGGCACACCAAATTCATTATCTAAAATAGAATGTCAGGAGTCTTATTGTCCTCCCACTGAGTGGATTCATGGAATATATTTTAGATATATATTTTAGGAAATTCTTTTCTGAGACAGGTTTACTTTTGTCAGTTTTGCTCAACTGCACACACAAAAAAATGTTGCAACTCTATTTGTTAGAGCCATAACTAAGGATTGTTTAAGGTAGGTGTTTCTGTGAACCTTTTTATCTTTAAATTAGTCATTTTCAGTAAGAATGGTTAATATCATCCATCCATTTTCTGAACCCGCGCGGTCACGCGGGGTGGGGGGTGGGGGGTGGGGGGGCTTGTGCCTATCTTCAGCGGTCAATGGGCAATCAGACGGGGTACGCCCTAGACAGAGAGCCAGTCCATTGCAGGGCAGCACAGACACACACACACACACACACACACACACACACACACACACACACACACACACACACACACACACACACACACACACACACACACACACACACACACACACACACACACACACACCTAAGGACAGTTTGGACAGACCAATCAACCTAACAGTCATGTTTTTGGACTGTGGGAGGAAGCCGGAGTAACCGGAGAGAACCCACGCATGCACAGGGAGAACATGCTAACTCCATGCAGAAAGATCCCAGGCCCGGAAGCAAACCCGGGACCTTGTTGCTGCAAGGCAACAGCTCTAACCACTGCGCCACTGCGCAGCTCGCTGGTTAATATCAGTTTTAGTTAAATGTCAAATTTTATTTTGAAAGTACCACTTCCGGTTGAGCTGTATTTTTTGGATGAATGAAGGACGAAGATCTTAAAGGATTGAGAAAGCATGGACCAGGGAAGTTTTAGACCGTGTGTGTTGAGTTTTTGCTGAAACTAAGGAGCTAAAATGTTAAGACGTGTTCATTAGTTTGTATTAGAATTTTTCTAGAATGTTTGTTAAAAACATTTGTTAAAATTCACGGTTTTGCATGCGCCCTTTACTTTACGTTACTTCCAAAATGTAACAGATCTGTTACCATAACAATATTTTTTAAATCCATTTTTATTTAAATGTCATAATAAATATCAGGCTGCCTGGCCAAAGGGGCAGTAAAGTTGTAGAATTGTCCAAAGCGCTGCAAAAACCTCCTAATTCACCTTTCCTTCCAAAATCTGCAGCATTTGGGAAATCCCAAGTGCAAGATAACAAAAAAACAGTCTTAGTGCTGCCGCTGCGGTGTTTTTCTATTGATTTAGCTGTGTTGCACTGCTGCCTTGTTTGCTATTTAGACATATTTTGCTTCGCTCAGTAAGCTGTAGTCTATAGCGAGTTAATGCTTGGATTAAATTTCCTCGCAGCACAGTAGCTTCCCTGAGCCCTATTTAAGTTGGTAAGCCTCATGATTATTATGGCACAAGCAGTCATTATCAAAGGAGGGAAACATGAACAAAAATGAGAGAGAGAGGGGGAAGGAGAGAAGGGAAGGTTGGGTGCAGCACAAGCTGGGCTGAAATGGATTGGCTGTGCAGTTCGGAGTATTTGTTTTAGGCTGTGGCTCTTTGCCAAGAAAGCAGGCAGCTCCACAGTTTCCAAATCAGCAGTGCCCTTAAAAACGGGTCCCCCTCCATTACAGGGGGGATGTAGAGATAATGTAGTGTGACACACGTTATGTACACTGGGTCTCAGCAAGAGGAGCTTCAGGGACACAGGTGTCATAAGAGCCATTAATCTACTACTGTCACGTGTTATTGCAAATTAAAAGTACCATGTTACAGTTGGCAGCTACTGGTGCAGATGGACAGAGAGTGGGAGCACGGCCGAGACCTCTGGAGATGGTGTCTTTGGTGACCGCCGCTGTACAAATTGACACATATTAGAATTTGCAATTCTGCAGAGAAAAGCTATTACCTCACAGATTAACATCCAGGCAGCTCGCCGGCCGCCTCGTCTCTGCTGCAGCCCTCCACCCCCGCTGTTCTGACAATACAAGAAAAGACAAAAGGAAAGCTTATTGATGAAGTAAAACACAAACATATTCTAATTTATTTACAAGAGTGCTTTGTCCACGTTTAATATCAACATCCACGAAGTGTGTCGGGCCTTGAAGGCTTATTCAGACCACCGTGGTTCCTAATTCCAGCCGTGCTGAGCGCCTTCTTGCTTTTCATTGGTCTTTCTTTTTTATTTATAAAAGATACATAAAGAGAGAAAATCTCATGATAAGATCATCATCATGTGTTTGAAAAGCCACCAACAATAGCTGAGAGAATGGATTTGATTCTGTGCTTCAGTAACTGTTGAATTAATTATTTGTCATCTCTGGGCGTCATGAGGACCAAACCGATGGAGATGAGTGATGGAGCGGGCCGCCGTCACACCCTATGCTGTGTATCAGCATCTGTTTTGGGGGAAGAGGGAGAACAGAGGAACTCAGAGTGCAGGAACATGTCAGCACCTGAACGCAACCATCCAAATTAGATTAATAAAGCCTTTAAATGCTCTGGAACATCACACCAAATTAGTGCTTGGCTGCAATGCCTTCAAAACTCACAGAAATCAAGGAAAATCACAATTTTTGCAAGTAATTGATTACATTTGGTCCATTAAATGCTTAAACACCCGAGTTTATATTGAATACAAAAGAATAACAGAAAATTTCTGGACTTTTCCCCTCGTTTAATAGATTTTCTATCAATCTAATGAGCATCTTTCTTCCTCCCATATCCTACGAACACTAATTACAGATCTCTGCTGATGCAGAACAAACATTTTACATTCCAGAGACAGTATTTCACTCATGTTTACGTAATCAAAACATTCAATTAGAAAAGCAAAATGCAGCTGAGTTTATCTAAATGGATGCAAATGAGTTTTAATTTGATTTCATCAATTTGACTCAGGTGGGAAATTATAGAGGTACATTATTGTGAAATGCACGACAGTGTTAAGGTTAGGAGGGAGAATGTCGGTTGACGTGTTTAAACAAGTAGTTGACTGGGTGGGGATGAAAAAACAAAAAGAGGGGTGCAGCGGGAGAAAAGTTCATTATTCTAACGATGGGCTTTCATGACCCTGAGGTGGCATCTCAACTCCCCGCATGTCAAACAAAAACTGAAAACCTCAGTTTC